CTTATTCGATTGTTTAATAATGCAGTACCGTAGAAATTTGCCGGATCATTCGTTTTATTGACGTTTTGGGATCCAATTTCGGCTACGCGTCGCTCGTTGATCTATTTGGGAGTTACAACTGTCGAAGCACCGTGTCATCCACTTCGAGCTCACCTGGTGCAAGAAACTGGACTCTATCTGGCTTTGCCGCATGTTCTGTTTTGTTTTATCCTATGCTAATAGTTGGAGACTTCAACCTCCCTAAGACTGACTGGATGGAAGCGCGTGCAGTGAGTGAGTCTACAGGTGAAGCTGTCCTAAAATGCATGCACTCCCACGCGCTGATACAATACGTTATGTAGGCCACAAGATTCAAGGGTCAACAGAGACCGTCCATCTTGGACCTAGTCATAACAAGATACTCGTCGGGTGTAAGCAAAATGAAATTAGAAGAACCACTGGGCAACAATGATCATCTAGTATTAAAATTCCTGCTGCCAAAAAAGCACAGGAAGCCAGAAGCTTCACTGGTACGACGCTATAGTTGTATAAATGAGGTGGCCTTGCGTGAAGCAGCGGAGCAGGTAATTTGGACACTAGAATCCCGGGAGCCCAAATTGGAAGAGAGAAGTCATCAGATCCAAGTAGGTATACAGATCTAAACGAAACTGAAGAAACGAGTCTCTATGAAACACTTGCCGGTTCGTATAGGCAACAAAATTTATAATGAAGTAAATTTTTTTTCCAAATAATAATAAACAAGCCTTCGTAAGTCTTTATAGACGTAAATTTTATGATTCATTTATACTCAGCAGATGGAATGATTCAGTATGCAGCGGATACTCTCATTTTATCAGTAGTGGTTGACCTAGACTATGATGAGTTAAGAGGTAACTAAAGAGAATGAGACAGTTCTTAATAACAAATAACAAATTAACATTGATAATAATCAAGATGTAAAGTTTGTGTCCACTAATAGTCAATTGGTCTGCCTTTGTTCTTTAGGACTTCTTCTGGTCTTTTCAGCATGGAATCCATCAACTTTGTGGTGAAGTCGTTTCCTACTTTGTGTTCCATTACGTATCGCACTTTTGCCTGAAATGTCCAATGTATAGATTGCACATTGACCTATCTCTTAAAAACAGAAAACGGGTTTTCAATCACGTCGAGATCCGGGCTATTAGGGGTAAGTTGCATGAACTAGACCTTAGAGTCACGCGCCTGCCTTTGCTGCGCGTCCAAAGCTGGCTTGACGTCAGCTGAAGCCTGACGCATCTTAAATGTTTTCATTCTTCTTTGCAGAAAGGAGTCCGAATGGCTGGAAGATCTTCCTGTTGGACAGAAGAAAACGATTTTCTGCAAATTGTTTTCAGAGTAATATGAATCAGGTCGTCCTCCTGTTTGGATGTACTCGGTTTACGGCCCCCACAAGCTGTTCTGGTTGTTTTTTTTCATGGATTATCCTGTAAATTGTGCTTTTATTAACGTTAATGCATTGAGCAAGATTTAATATCGAAAATCCCAGCTTGTGTGTTCGTATAATTCTATTTCTGTTTTGTTTACTGAGATAACTGGGACTTTTGTTTTTGAGGTCTGCTTGCTTCATTATCGTGACAATAATAAAAACATTCAAAGTTGTGGACAAAAATGACCTTGATTTCAAGGTTGATTTTGATTGAAGTGGTATTTCTCGAATTCAGTAAGTTAGATATCAAGCATAGATTATTATTACGAAATCTTATTTAATGAGATTTCCCTGGTTTATAAACATATTTCATTTGGTTATCCAATACAGTTTCTATAATGAATTATATATAAGATAAAATAATGACTCAACAAATAACCCTGATGGCAAGGGTTTATGGAACTATGAAACACTGGGTCCCCTTTATCCATCTTATCAAGACCGAAAGAAGACATATGTCGCGATGTGTTAACATTTCGTTTAATCTACTCAATCGCTGACGTAAAACAAACTGCTCAACTCCGACTTATCACCTCTACTCGAGGAATCGATTTGGACGAACGTGTGCATGTTTGGCAGTCCGGTCCGATCTCACACACTGTATATCAGTTCACCTGCAGTTGCAGTGACGCATACATAGGCAGAACCAACCGTCAATTATCACAGCCGATGGCCGAACACATTCCACAGTGGCTAGTAAAGTCTATGACGGAACCCATGTCTAGTAATCAGATGGTCACACATAACCCGGGATTATCAGTTGCAAAACACCTCATGACAACCAAACACATAGTTGATCCCGCTTCCTCTTTCAAGCCGTTGTTACGTAACCACAACGTAAAACTGTTGGTAATAAGTGAGGCCCTACTGATCCGATTACATAACCCCGTTCTGTGTACCCAAAAGTTGTTAATCCAATTAATTCACTTGCCATGGAGTTGATCTATATATTTTTAATTCTAATAGCCCCTGTCTAACTGTACACGTCCGTTCTCTATGATTTACAATTTCAATGTGCTATAAATGTGCTTGTTTGTTTGACGTCAGCGATCGAGAAGATTAAACGAAATGTCAACATCTTGCGATATATGTCTTTTTTCGGTCTTGCTTTATGGAACTAATTTGGAATAATTCTTGAGTCATCCCTGTTAGGAAATATTGCGTTGTCAAACTTGATAAAGTTTGTGGTCTTCATTTTAAGATCATTTAATCTTGGCACTCAAGGTCAGGCACGTTTAATTGACAGTTATGCAGACTAGAAACTACGTAGATCGTAGTAGACAATATATAAATTATTGTCCATACCTAAAGCATTAATACAGAGGATAGATATAATAAAGCTCCATTTGGTCACAAAGAAAATAGTTTAGTGCATCACAATCGGCGAGTACTGTATGTTGACTTATGAACGAGTTCAGTTCGTTGCGTCCAAGGCGTGAAAACCGAAGGCAAGTATGGTGGCGGCCGAAGCTAGATAGAGGACTAAAAACAAGGAAACAATGCTGGGTAAATTAGCGAATATATGGCACGCATCAGATTAAAAAGACAGGTTGGAATAGCTTGAAAAAGAGCTGAAACTCGTGAAACAAACTAATCAAGCAATCCTAGGAAGGGCTAGGAATGTACTTCTGCATAACTGCGTGAACACCGTGATTAGAGACTCCAAGTCTCGGCACGAGGCGGACCGGAAGTATGTGCAAACTGAACGTCCACCAATTCGCACTTGAGTGACGCGTAGCCGAACCGATACGAATCCCGAATTAAAAACACGA